TAAAAATAACACTAGCTGATAAAGAAAATATATCCTGTACGAAAATAGCCAATTCTTATTAATTCTGTGATGCTGATAACGATATGTCAACAAAAATTAAATCTTAGCCCCAGTTTTTTCATGGTACACCAATTATCAGCACGAAAAATTCAAAGATTTAATATGAGAAATAAATGAATGATCAAATGTCCAATATCATTTTGCTGTATGACTATAAATATTAATTTGCGATTTTTGTCTGTTGAACACGAATCTGTTACATAAATTTGATTATTAGTTCACAATTTTGAGAAAAATAGCGTTTCAGAAAGGCTAAAAACTAAGATTTTTATAACTTTCGATAACAAATTTTTTTTCTTTCAATCAAATTTCGTTAATGCTGCGCAAATTTATCAACTTTTTTAGCTTTAAAATGTCTTTTGTTTTGTTTGATTTTTCGTTTTCGAGATATAACAATATAGCTCTTTGTCCATGTCATAATACATGGAAAAGGCATTAAAACTATATTATGTGAAAAGTAAATACTTTTGTACTTATACATAATATTATTAATTGAAAGTACAAAAGGATACTTACTTTCCATAAAATGCAATTTTTTTCAAAATTTTGACGTGATAGCCAAAGACGTGTTAGACGATAGATTCATATTTAGCAGATAAAAATAAATCGGAAATGAATATTCATATAGTCTAATTGCAAAATTATATTGAACAATGATATCACACTTATTTCTGGCATTAAACCCAAATTGTTTATGCTCGCAATTAACATAAAAACTAGAGCTAAGATTTAATTTTTATTGACATATTTGTTAGCGGTCAGCACTATAAAATTAATGAAAATTGGTTATTTTAGTATAGGATACTTTTTTATCGTTAACCAGTATTATGTTTCGAGGCGTGATTTTTGTATCACACGCCGCTTATTGCTGTTCATGCATGTACGCATGCATGCACGCATGCATACGCACGCATGTGCGTACACACAAAAAAATACATTTTTTTAATTAAGAAATTTTCTTCAGTAAAAAAAGATGGGGAAAAAATCAGCTAAGAGCGAGGATCCAGCGTCACGAGCTGCTCGAACACAGCCATTTTCGCTGTAAACTAGTCCCCGCTTGCCGTGTTGCCTCGCGCTAGGCAACCGCGCTCGATGGACGGTCGCGCGCTAGTATTGGCGGTGGGCCGGACTCGCCGGACGTATACTCGCTCATTCGGCGATATTCAAAACTTAATATCTCGTTAAATATTGCGAATTTTGCAAAATGGTAGAGGACTTCGATTCAGTTTAGTCCGTTCTATCTATCCAATAGCGGTGATACATCTATCAAAAGACACCCTGTATATATTGTGACGTTGCAGCCCGCTGCACCGGAGCAGCGTCCCGCCGCCGTCACAAGGCGCGGGTTCGCGCCCTTTTTGCCGAGCCGGCGGCCGCGTTATCGTGAGCGAGACCGAGATCTCCGGGAGGCCCGAGGTTAAATTGCGTACTTTTTGTTAATTATTTTTGAACCTCTTGTATGTAACGCGGTACCTCACCGGATGCAAGGAGCAACGGCGGAGAGGATTCAAGGCCACCGGCAAAGGAGAGGACTCGGAGTGCAGGCGACCGCAGGAGCTAAGGGGGCACGCATCGGACACGCGGCGATCAGGCGACGGAGCGCGCGCACGCTGAGCGCGTGACCGCGCGCAAGGATACGAGAGCCGCCAGGGGCGCGGCCAGGAAAGCTGGCGCAGGAGCTGAGGCCCGCGAAGGGCCGCGATACGGCCGGCGATTTCCCCAGGGCCCGGGGCCATCTCCGAGAGCTGCCGGGGCGAGATCGTCAAATCGTCCCAGATCTAAGGGCGAAGAACGCGTCCATCCGATGCCACGCCGCCACATCCAGGAAATAGGGCCTCGCGAGGACGCGAGGCACCCGCATGAAGAATTCGCCAAATACGCCCGTGCCACGGCAGAACCTCCGCGGCGCCGTGATTGGTCGCGACCGTCTGCGCCGCTGTGTTGCGCACCCCCAGGCTGAGGGGGGTGCAGGCATCGATCGCGTATCGAACGCGATCTACGCCGCTTTTGCGTGCGAACCCTTCGAACGAGCGGACGATCTAACGAGCGAGAGATCGAGCGAGCGAGTGCCATTGAGAGAGAGAGAAAGACGAGCAGCCGCCGGCCCAGAGAACTCCGCCAGGAACGAGAAGGAGATTGCGCCGGTGAGGTGACCCTCTGGTTCTGAGCGTTGTAAAGCCACGAGCAAGTCGGGGATCCCGCTCGCACTCTGCGGACGGAAACGCCATTTTCGTGTTCGAGTCTCGTCGCGCGCGCCCTTTTGGATGCGTATTTCGTAGTATTTGGTTGTTGGCTTTCGTCCTCAAGTGCGAGGATTCCTACCGAATCTTGCTGTGGGCTACCGAAAGTGTCGTGAGTCGCGTGGCGGGAGCGTCTAAGGCTCCCCCGGATAGCCCATGAAGGGTTTCCCTATGTGAGCGAGCAGGGGGTTGATGGTCTTGTGTCGGGGATCCTGAGTCTCGGTTCCTGCGCCGAGGGCTTCTTCGATGAAGCGCCGCAGGTTCCTTGCCCACACCCACGCCGTGAGCTTCTTCGGTGAAGCGCCGTGAGGTACCTCGTCCTGCCTGTGCTGTGTGCCTCTTTGATGAGGCGCCGCAGGTAAGGATGAGAGGAGTTCCCTTAAAGGACGACGCTTGACCCTGCCTGACCCTCTGCAAATAGGGGGGTTGATGGTCTTGTGTCGGGAATCCTGAGTCTCGGTTCCTGCGCCGAGGGCTTCTTCGATAAAGCACCGCAGGTTCTTTGCCCACACCCACGCCGTGAGCTTCTTCGGTGAAGCGCCGTGAGGTACCTCGTCCCGCCTGTGCTGTGTGCCTCTTTGATGAGGCGCCGCAGGTAAGGATGAGAGGAGTTCTCTTAAAGGATAACGCTTGACCCTCTCTGACCCTTTGCACCTTGAGGACTCGCGCTTTGATCGGTGTAGCACCGTTCGGGGCGGACTGAGGTTGGTGAGAGCTATTCCGGGGTAAAGTCAAGGACGCAGGACCGATGTATGCGGTTACATTAGCCTCTCCGGTCCAGCCGCACTCCACCTCCAAGAGGTTCCCGCCGGAAACCTCCGTCGATGCTTCCCGCTCGGGTTGCTGACATGGAGGACTAACGAAGTTAAGGCGAAGTTTTCTCCCTTTCTTCCACTTCCCTTCCAATCCTGAACAGGGTCAGGGTGTGCGTCCAGGCAGGACGCAAATGGGCAGGCCTCCCAGTGGTCCCCGTGGGCGTGTCGCGTGCGCCCTGGGCTTTGGCCCGGGACGCCCGCTTCACGGCTAAACTGCTCATCTTGCACAAACGGACCGTGTAAGCGCTGCTGGATTTTTCCATCGCCACTCTCGGGGCGGTTGGCTTTCGCAAAAATAGTCGATGAAAGAAATGTTGCGTTTGCCCATTCGGGCCAGGTAGCACGTGGGCGGCCGCTTCGGTGGTCGCCATACAAACATTAACTGTCGTGAGTCGCGTATCGAGCCACCCGGAGGTCGTCACCGGGAACACGCCGCAAAGCCTTCGCGCACGAATGCGCGAGCCTTAGCGTAAGTGCGCGGGTACTCGAGATCGCGAGTACTTATCGTCGTATTGTATTGTAGTATCGCGTGCGATTCCGCCGCGTATCGGCTTAAGTAATTTTCTGTTCGTTTTTCGTCTCCGTATGTGTGTCCGACGTGCGAGCCTATTATCGAGGTTATTGGTCGCGCTTGTCGTTGTATGAACTCGGTACCCGCGTCGTACCGAGAGACATTCTTTATTGCAATACAGTGCCGTCTCGTTCTGATCGCGTTCTCACCTACCGGTCGGATTTCGTTACTGTTTTTTTTCGTACACCGGAAATTATCTTTTCTGCTGGATTACCTGCGTTTAATACCGCCAAGTCAGTTTCTTTTCTTTTCTCTTAATTTTTTTGGTCATTATTTAATTGTTATTTTGTTTCCGGCTGTTTCTTACCGCCTTGCCACGCGGTATTAAACGGTATTATTATTTAAATTGTGAAGCACGAATTCTTTCGCCCGTCCCGCACCATCCTATCGTCCGTCGCCTAACTCGCCCTTAGTTTCGCCCTGCCCCTCTGCCGTTAGGTAGAGCCAGCCGGCCCTCGCGCGATCGATCTTGGGAGTGGCATTCGTCTGTGGATTTTAAGTATTGTCGCGCGCAAGAGTATTTTTCGCGCTATTGCATTGACTTAGCGTTTCGTGAGTGACGTGCCATAGTGTCTGGCGCCCAATTCTCGCGTCGCTACTCCGTGTCGGAGTTTTCCGTTTTTGATCCGCGCTCGCGCGAACCTCGAACCTCACCGAGCATATGACAATATACAGAGTGTCCCCATATAAGTGGTCACCCCTTTTTATCTCGTAAGCTAATAGAGATAGATCTAATAAATATAATATCAAATTAAACGGTTCTGACTTTATTGTAAGTATAGTGATCACTTAAAAATATTATCTATGTTAGAGAGCAAAAAGACATAATTAATTTTTGCATGGTAAGGTGACAATTTTAATATGATAAAAATTGTAGCGTTCTTTTTAACGAATACAACGATGTATGATATAACGAAATTATTTTACGAATTATAAGAGTTATTTTGGTTTAAA